GCCCTTATTTGTCTCTTATTTGTAGTGAATGACTCTCTTCGCTCATCCAGAAATCGACTAGTTTAGGTCGGTTGAATTGTGTGCGGATCAATAGACATACAACCCATCTTATGTTTGCATATGACTGTCTTATTTTTGGTGAAGCGAAAGTTGGTGCGACAAAGGATATTCTTTAGCTCAAACGTTGTTGACGCAAACCGCGACGATGTTAAAAGAATATTGGGGGTCTTTAGCTCTTCGAACCTTGAAAAATATTTAGGATTGCCAGTATTAGGAGACAAGCTTTTTTGCACTTCAAGGAACGTATTATAGCTCGCGTTAATTCATGGAGCATTCGTTGCTTATCTCAGGGTGGGAAGGAGGTGTTCCTCAAGTCAGTTCTTCAGTCGATTCCTTTATTTGCGATGAATTACTTCCTTTTGCCTGAAAGTTTGTGTGATGCACTGGAATGTCTAATGGCTAGGTTTTGGTGGCAAAAATCAGCAAAGAAGAGAGGTATCCACTGGTGTACCTGGAAAATGCTTTGTAATTTGAAGGAGAATGATGGTTTGGGGTCTCGAGATTTAGCAAAATTTAGCATTGCTTTGTTGGCAAAGCAAGGTTAAAAACTTATCACTGCCTCGGGTTCCCTATCTCTCTGGCTTGTAGATTAATTCAGGTGATATAGTATCCATCTGCTGATTTCTTAACGGTAAGATTGGGTTCAAACCCTTCCTATGTATGGTGAAGCATTTGGAGCGCTCGCGGGTTGCTTAAGATGGGTATTCATTAGTGGGTTGGCTCGAGGAAAGCTATTTCTATTTAGAATGATTTTTGGCTGTCGAAGTTTCCTCCCTCGCGTATTACGAGCCCAAGAAGTGAGAATGTTGAAAGGGTGTCGGATCTAATTTCAAGGCATATGAACATTTGGAATGAGGAGCTAGTCTGAGAGACGTTTATTGAAGAAGAAGCTATAAAAATTTATCAATCTTGCTCTCCTCAACCACGATGACTGATTGTAAAGTTTAGAGTAGTGAGCGAACGGGTCTGTATACGGTTCGTAGCGGGTATCGTTTATTGCATGGTAAAGGGATGACCACAGATAATTCGATTAAGATTTATAAGAAATTATGGGCTATCAATTGCCAGAGGAAGATCAAGCTGCAAGTTTGGCAATTTGTCAATAACCTTGTTCCTACAATGCAGAATATTCATTATCGAAGGCTCTCTCTTAGCCCTTACTGCTCGAAATGCCTAGACCACGTCGAATTTGGTGTGCACATGCTTCCCTTTTTCTAATAAGGTCTGGTATGAATTGCAATATCAGTGGTCGGCTCATGAAGTTTTATAGACAGTTACAGAGTGGCTTAGTTGGTTATTCGATAATTATTCAATAAGCAAACATGGGAAAATAATGACAATCCATTCCAGACTACGTGCTCCCATCGATGGCTCCCCTACCAGATGGAAATCGCCTCTACCTCCAATGGTCAAAGCCAATTTTGACATCAAATACATGCACGCAAGCAACCAAGCATGATCAGAAATGGTTGTACGTGATTCTGAATGATTTATTTTAGGAGCAAGTAGACGAAGTCTCGAAAGGGTTACCTCATTTTTTGCTACAGAAGCGGTGGTTGCCATCCACGCAATCCAGTTAACGCTCGATTTGCGTTTCACTCATGCCATTATTGAAGGTGGCTCAAGGTCTGTGATGTTGAAATTGAGTTCGACAATGCTTGACAGATTAGAGATTGGCGTTTCGATCTGAGAGGGACAAAAGCTTGATGTTGGGTTACATACATGTTCCTTCAAGCGTGTCCCCTGTTGGAGTAATCAGACAACCCACCTCTTGGCGTCGACATCCGTGGAGGGTGTGGAAGACTAGTTATGGCCATGGGTTGAGGAGGCACCAAGGCGCATCTTGGTCTAAATTGCGGATGATAGAAGATGGATCGAACCACCCTAGTCCTCGGGGGCTTCTACGCTGTTTAAAGGTTCTACTCAGTTTTTTCCTACTTTCCTTGTTGCTCGTCAGCATTGTTTCATCTGTAAGGAGAGAATGATCGGTTGTCTTCTCCGGTTTAGCTTTATTTCTTTATGATTTTCTTTAGAGAAAATAACCTCAGTGACAAAAAATGCCTTATAATATACGATTTTAACTAACTTTTTTTGGATTTACTAAAATGACCAACTAAATCGCAATGCGATCGATAATTCGCAACGCGATCTCCGATATCGCAAATCAGTTTCCAGATTCGCAACGCGAACTTCGACTATCGCAATGCGAACTTCGACTATCGCAATGTGAATATGTAAATCGCAATGCGAACTTCGACTATCGTAATGCGAACTTGGACTATCGTAATGCGAACTTGCGAACTTGGACTATCGCAATGCGAATATGTAAATCGCAATGCGATAGTCGAATGCGAATATGTAAATCGCAATGCGATAGTCGACTATCTCTATCGCAATGCGAACTTCGACTATCGCAATGCGAACTTGCAAACTTGGACTATCGCAATGCGAATATGTAAATCGCAATGCGATAGTCGAAGTTCGCGTTGCGATTTATTCCAAATTCGTTGCGATAGTCCAAAATCGCAACGACTGGTGGTATTGCATTTGTTTCTTAAGAATTTTCTCTAAAAAAATAGTATTCGCGCGGACGTGTCAAAGACACGTATTACCACGACCACGACCACGACCACGACCACGACCACGACCCGAGACGGACGGCGGCGGCGCGCGAGAGTCCCCCTTGTTCTCTATCACTCAACAAGGAAGTGGGAAAGCCAAGCCTTAAATACCATTCCCAATAGTGTTTCCAATACTATGTGGGATTGAGCATTACCAACACTTGTTCCCAATACTATGTGGGATTGAGCCTTAAATAGTGATATTATTTTTGAATGTTTTGCTTAAAATTGCAATAATCGCAATTGATTGTAGATTGACTTTTAATTATTACATATTTAATCGTATAATACTAATGCAATTGGTTGCTGATTCAGTTGTTTTAAGGTGCATGATTGTTAATTGTTTCCTGAATAATCACATTGTATTGGAAACAAGTGTTGGTAATGCTCAATCCCACATAGTATTGGAAACACTATTGAGAATGATATTTAAGGATTGGCTTTCCCACTTCCTTGTTGAGTGATAGAGAACAAGGGGGACTCTCGCGCGCCGCCGCCGCCGTCTCGTCTCGTCTCGGGTCGGGTCGGGTCGTGGTCGTGGTCGTGGTCGTGGTCGTGGTCGTGGTCGTGGTAATGGTAATGGTAATGGTAATGGTAATACGTGTCTTCGACACGTCCGCGCGAATACTATCTTTTTAGAGAAAATTCTTAAGAAACAAATGCAATACCACCAGTCGTTGCGATTTTGGACTATCGCAACGAATTTGGAATAAATCGCAACGCGAACTTCGACTATCGCAATGCGAACTTCGACTATCGCAATGCGAACTTCGACTATCGCAATGCGAATATGTAAATCGCAATGCGATAGTCGACTATCGCAGCGCGAACTTCGACTATCGCATTGCGATTTACATATTCGCATTGCGATAGTGGACTATCGCATTGCGATTTACATCTTCGCATTGCGATAGTCCAAGTTCGCATTGCGATAGTCGAAGTTCGCATTGCGATAGTTGACTATCGCATTGCGATTTACATATTCGCATTGCGATAGTCGAAGTTCGCATTGCGATAGTCGAAGTTCGCATTGCGATAGTCGAAGTTCGCGTTGCGAATCTGGAAACTGATTTGCGATACCGGAGATCGCGTTGCGAATTATCGATCGCATTGCGATTTAGTTGGTCATTTTGGCAAATCCAAAAAAAGTTGGTTAAAATCGTATATTATAAAGCATTTTTTGTCAATGAGGTTATTTTCTCTTTCCTTTATTATTGTTTGTTTATTAATCGCTTAATATTAAAATAAGTGCTCAAATTATATCTATTTTTTTAAATAGTTGCATAAATTATTTTTGACTCATCCTGGTGCATAAATTATATATAAATGGGTAACATTACAAACGTTAGTCATTTAGATGTCAGGACCATCAACAATGTTGATTTCTCTATTAAGTGACACGTGTCACAATTTAGTAATTTTAAAAATTTTATTTAAAATTAAAAAAATTAAAATTATATATATTTTTAAAAAGAAAACATAAATTTTGAAATAAGCCCAAAACTTTGAAAACCTTCATTTCAACCCCTAAATCCACACTGACAGCTGCCTTTTACCGTCGACGAAGCTCCACCCGATCTCCCCTCCCTCGATGACCAAAACCCCCATGAAATCGTGACTGATAGATGACGAATCAACATTTTATACCTCACGAACCCAAGGATGAAAATCGCGATTTTGTCGGTCAATCGACTGAAACTACGATGAGGAACGAGTAGTAGGATGATAGAGATAATATTGGTGGTCGGAAAGGACAGCGGCGACAGATTAAAGTTAAGATTTAAGATTTTGGGTTGTTTTATAATATAACAAAAGTTAATTTTTTTTTTAAATATCATAATATTTTTAAAAAATAAATTTCAAAATCATCATATTATGACACGTGTCACTTAATGAAAAAATTAAAATCATTGATGGGTCGAACATCTAGATAGATAATATTTGTAACATTATGCTCATGCATAAGTAAAAATATAATTTAGGCACTTATTTAAGAAAATTAGTAGATTTTGAGCAATTATTTTAAAATTAAGCATTTATTATTATATTTGTTGGAACTTGTTTCTAGGCATTTAGTGTGTTACAGCTAGCGCTTTGATTTTGTTTATAAAATAAATAACTAAAATAATGAATAATGAATTATTTAAAAGACCCCATTATTGAAAATAAACAAATAAAAAATGGCCGCCAAACCATTCACATTGCAAGAGTTGACCAGCCCAATAGGCGTGTGCTGACCACGGCGTCGTTTCGTCTACCTCTCTTTATTGACAAACTATTGTGAACGTTTCTCCGACTCCAAGTTGTTACTAAATGCTTTTTATTGCACCTAACTCTCTCTTCCTCCTTTGATTCTTTCCTTTGTCTCCATTGTTTTCCCCTTTTTTCCCCTCTTTATTTTTGTTCTCCTTCATCCTGGGCTACCTGCCAGAAGGTGAATTTTTCACTTCTTTTTCCTGGATTTGTGATAGAATTTTCATAATTCCATGCGATTATTATTTTCGAAAGGGAATTCGTTGTTTTTATTGAAATTTGTTGATCCACATCATGGCTCATTTAAGCTGTACACGGGCTTTTGTTCTTTGGTCTCCGTGGTGGTTGTTCTAGTTATAAGATTTCAAGTCTTTGTTAAACTGCTATTTATAGGTTTCGTTTTATCCTCCATTATTGATTGTTTTGACTTTAGCTTAAGATCGCTCATATCAGTTTGTTTAGAGTAATTTGCAATGCTTTTGCATTCATTCACGGAAGATTTAGTGAGACCCTTGTGTTTGGTAGAGTTATGGTTCTGAATTTGTTTGTGTTTTTGGCAGTTCTATAGTTTGAAAGCTTGAACTCTTTCATTTTTTCTCTGGATCGGACCGACTGCTGTAATTTGATCAAGCGTGCTTGATTTTATTTTTTGATAAAATTAACATCGATTTGTTCTGCTAGTGGTTGTATTCGGTTTTAATTTCTTCGTGTATGTATCATTTGATGCTAAGAGATGTAATCATTTGGGATCTAGGCTTTATCTACTCTTAGATTTTTTTTAATAGTTCCTATGTTTTTGTGCAGGTCAACTTTAAAATGAATTTTCCCTTCAGAAGCTTACACGAGGATTCCGCAACTTCTAAGATGGAAATCCTCAGATGCCCATTTTTGAGAAACATTAATGAGCCGACAAACTTCTCTTTCTCGTCGGCCATGTTCGTTCCGCTGCCGGTAAGACTATGGTTCATTTTGTTATGAGCTTTGTGTTTCTTGCATCATGTTCTTGATTCAAGTTCACAGAATCACATTAGCTTTAACTTCTCGACTTCAGGTACGGGGAGCCAAAGGTCCAATTTTCGAAGACGAACCCAATTTTGACACGGCATTCAGGCTTTTCCATGGACGGGATGGAGTGGTTCCTCTGTCAGAACGATCTTCTTTGCATGCTAAGAAGGCAGAGCCTGAAACAGCCCCACCCAAGTTCAATCCATTGGCTGCAAAGGCAGCCACCATTAGTCTCTCGTCCTTCGGACCGGGAGGGCCCTTCAGTTTCGATGCATTTTCCAATAAGTGGAACAATCGAAACGGAAAATCAAAATCATCCAAGAAAGACTCCTCTTCAAAGGTAATCGATCTTCCATTTGTGGAATGCAACATTAGTTTGGAGTTCAGACCTACATTTTTAAACTGAGAACAATCATCTAATGTCTGGAAGATCTTATGTTATTATTCTGAAACTTTCCTTTATTGACATTGTTCTATGCTTGATGTTTCAGGAAGGAAATTCCCATCACGAAGCATTGGGCAATGAGTGGCTGCAAAGCGGTAACTGCCCGATAGCAAAGTCATACAGGGCTGTTAGTGGTGTCTTGCCACTTGTTGCCAAGGTTTTTAAACCACCTCCGGGGATGAAATTTAGGTGCCCTCCTGCAGTGGTAGCAGCCCGGGCAGCACTTGCACAAACCACTTTCGCCAAGAACCTTCGCCCTCAAGCGTTGCCTACTAAAGTACTGGTGATAGGGATGCTAGGCATGGCGGCAAATGTTCCACTAGGGATATGGAGGGAACATACTAAAAAATTCTCACCATCTTGGTTTGTAGCCGTTCATGCAGCTGTTCCGTTCATAGCCATGCTCCGGAAATCTATCTTGATGCCCAAGTCAGCTATGGCTTTCACCATTGGGGCATCTATACTAGGCCAGATTATTGGCTCTAGGGCAGAACGATACCGGTTGAAAGCAGTAGCAACAAAACAATTTGGTATCGAGGAATCCTCTATTTCTGTCGCTGCTCTAAATCCGCTAGAAGGTGTTGCCTCCAAGAATGGCTGTTGCGGGAAAGACGTCAAATGGAATCCTGTTCGTCTTCAGGTGGCTATGCCTTCTTCATCAACAGACATGTTTTGCTAATCAGTTTGCTCATTTGTAAGTTGAACTATTGCAGTTCTGCATGTTTTCAAACTACAGTTGGCGGCTGTTCGATGCTTTAGTGTTCCTTTCTCTGTACCAGACACTTTTAATGGTTGTTATTCTCTCTGAAACCATGGCTGTTAAAGGATTGACTTGGTAAACACTGGCAAGTGCAATATTCCATGGAAATATATTAATAAAAGGTGGCTGCCGGCTGCCTTTATAAGCTTGCAGATATAATGTTCACATTTGATCCTTTGTTTCCAAGATCACATAAATGAGTGCACGAAAGATGATATTTTAAATTTTAAAAAAAACCCCATTAACAGTCGAAGCAAACTCTACATTTTTTTAGCCTAGATAAGAAAAAAACAAAACATGACATTATATAAAAAAGAATACAAATACAACACGAACAGATGAACATGTCAATATATATATATACATATATATATATAACATAAACTATAATACTAATGTAAATTATTAGATGAAGGATCGAAAAGATTAACCTTGGTTCAATAACGGCCACTCGATGTTTGGTCAGTACTGTGAACAACAGTCCGCAATGACTGCTGCTTCGTTTGAGATGAGGATGTGGGATAATTGACAAATGCAGAAGGATGTTTGGCCATTAAAATAGCACAATCCGGAAAATGTGACAACCCAGTTTGAATCCTGTTCCCATCTCAGAAACCATGATTCCTCTTCGGAACATTTTCACAGCACGGTGATTATTTTGATTGAATTTTGAGTTTCCATCAACATTATTACTTGTAGACTTCAAACTCGACGGAGTTGTGTTTTGTCTTGGAAAATCGGCAACCTTATCATCTCGGGAATTAGAACCGAGTATCTGACCAAAAAGCTTGACCTTACCATTCCTGCAAGGCGACTGGGATTTTGGATGATCCTTGGATTGGTTCAAGTTCTGCACCGGGAGTGGAAGCTGGACAGTTGATTTTGAGCTATTGCACTTCTGGAGACAGCAATCTTGAGCCAAATATGGACCGGCAACTCCCCTCTTGGATGTTGAAAGGCTTTTAACATCACCATTTGGTTCTTTCAAAGTTGAAATTTGCAAGGGATAACCCCTTAGGATCTGGTAAGATTAAGATTCAATAAAGGCTTTCGAGATAGACGATCAGGCTCATCTTCACCAATGGATTCGCAAGCCTGTTTGGTTTCATTTCCCTGATAATCGAGTGTTGATGACAATCTTTCTAGGTTGCAAATTTTCTCGCATTGAAGGGAATTGGAATCATGTAATGCAGAGCTTTCAGCAGAAGAGTTTTACCAACAGAAGCCTTCTCGACAGAATCCATATTGGACAAACCTCCAGCGCTTAACCTAAAACCTGAACAGGAGTTTTTACCAACAGATTCATCACTGGATCTATTTGAATCCTGCCTACATATACTTTGGCTGCTAGTATCTGCACTGCACTTTGCATCATGTTCATCCACATCACTTGTGGACAATGAAATTTCCAGTGCCATGAAATATTTTCCGAAGTCCTCATTAGAACAAGTAGCAGGTCCGGACTCGACCACAACATCAACCGGATGGCAAGGATGAACTGCAACCCCAAGAGATGCTGATACTGCATCAGAAACACCCTGATCAGCAACCTGATTTCTTCCAGCATTTAGGTCACCAAAAGCAACGTTTTCTGAACCTGCAATGACTCGGAAACATCCATATTATCAGTACCACATTCAGAAATCACCTGGCACACAACATGATTCCGTTTGTTTTCGTCTGATAAGTTCAGGTCAGTTTGTAAAATCAGTTTGCTGGTAGTTTCACATTCATCCATATTCATGCTTGTTGAAAGTCAAGCAATGCAAAAGTTTAAAGTTTGGCAACCAACTTTGAAAAAATGGTTTTCAAAGTTTGATAAATATTTCTTTGAAAATGGTTTTCAAAATTTGGTAAATGTTTCTTTGAAAAATGATTTTTCAAAGTTTGGTAGATGTTTGTTGAAATATTGTAATGGGATAATTATAATTAGTCACTAGACTTTAGGGTATTTACATGATTAAGTCCTTAAGTTTCAACTATAAATACCCTAGCTCATTTAGCTTCAAATACATCCCAAAAATCATTTATTTCTCCAAATACTAGAGAGTTTTATTGTGAGTAGTAAGTGTTTTGTAAACACCTGTAAATTTTCTCTCTTAGTAAAAGATCTGCAACAGTCCGGAGACGTAAACACAATTAGCTGAACTCCGTTATCAATTTCGGGTATTATTTTTTCGCTTTTATTTTGCATTCTCACTAATCTGGTTATAGGGAAATTACTTGTTTACTCATTTATTTCCCAACAACTGGTAATCAGAGCTTTTGGTTGTGAATTTTGTCATTTTTTTGCGAGTTTACTATTTATTACTATTTACACGAATAGTGAATTTTGTGAATAGTAAACAATTTGTCGGCGATATGAATTTGTCGACGAAAGTGTTCTAATACACGATGGTTTGCAAGAATTGTCAGAAACGATCCAAACAAAGCCAGATTCGAGTGGGAGCGATGGCTGCAGATGAAGGGAATGTGAAAATTGAAAAGTTCGATGGTGCGGACTTTGGCTTTTGGAAGATGCAGATTGAAGATTTTCTGTACCAGAAAAATCCATATCAACCTCTCTCAGGAAAACAACCAGAGGGCATGAAGAATGAAGACTGTGCTCTTCTCGACAGACAAGCCCTTGGAGTTATCCGACTGACGTTATCCCGCAATGTTGCTTTCAACATAGCAAAGGAAAAGACCACGTCGGGTCTTATGGCGGCTCTCTCCAGTATGTATGAGAAGTCATCAGCCTCAAACAAAGTGCACTTGATGAGACGATTATTCAATTTGCGGATGATGGAAGGGGCATCGATGGCACAACACCTAAATGAACTCAACACAATTACAACCCAATTGAGTTCAGTGGAAATTGAATTCGATGATGAAGTTCGAGCTTTAATTCTCTTATCATCTCTACCAGACAGTTGGAATGCTACTGTTACAGCAGTTAGCAGCTCGTCGGGAAATAGTAAATTGAAATTCGACGACGTTCGGGATCTGGTACTGAGCGAAGAAATTCGACGGAGAGCATCGGGTGAAGCATCAACCTCCTCAGCCTTGCACACGGAGTCCAGAGGGAGAACTTCAGAAAAAAATTCAAATCGTGGCAGATCCAAATCCAGAACGGGAAAATCAAGAACGAGAAAGAAAGATTTTACCTATTATAAATGCGACAAGAATGGTCACTTTAAAAGAGATTGCCGAGCACCGAAGAAAAATATCGGCGCACAGGAATCTGCCAACGTGATAGAGAAGACATGTGATGCCATGATTCTAAGCATCAACAATCCGATTGAATCATGGATCTTGGATTCAGGGGCATATTTCCACTCCACCCCATGCCGAGAAATCATGGAGAACTATGTCATTGGTGATTTTGGGAAGGTTCATCTAGCCGATGATGAAACCTTGAAGATCATCGGAAAAGGAGACATCCGATTAAAGTTGCCAAACCAGACCACCTGTACGCTGAAAGGAGTGAGACATATTCATTGCCTCAAAAGAAATTTGATTTCTGTAGGACAGCTTGATGGTGAAGGATTTAGCACAACCTTTTCAGGTTGTGAATGGAAGATTACCAAAGGAGCACTCGTCATTGCTCGTGGTAAGAAAACTGGTACTCTTTATATAACCTCAAATTTAGAGAATATCATTACAGTAGCAGATGCTGATGGAAAATCAAACCTATGGCACCAAAGGCTTGGCCATATGAGCGAGAAAGGGATGAAGACACTTTTGTCAAAAGGGAAGCTGCCGGATCTAAAGAATGTAGATGTCGGACTATGCGAGGATTGCATATTTGGCAAACAAAAGAAAGTCAGCTTTGCAAAGATTGGTAAGACACCCAAGGCTGAAAAGTTAGAGTTGGTTCATACTGATGTATGGGGACCATCTCTTGCAGGCTCATTATATTATGTCACCTTCATCGATGATTCTACAAGGAATGCGTGAGTTTATTTTCTGAAGAAGAAATCATAAGTCTTTGATACCTTCAGAAAATAGAAGGCCATGGTGGAAAATGACACTGGTCTGAAAGTCAAGCGGTTGAGGTCTGACAATAGAAGAGAGTACAGAAATCATAGATTCAGAGATTTCTGCGCAAACAATGGGATTAAGATGGAGACAACAGTTCCCATGACACCGCAGCAGAATGGCGTAGCAGAGCGCATGAATAAAACTCTGAATGAACGTTCCAGAAACATGAGGATATATGCCGGATTGCCCAAATTTCTATGGGCTGAAGCTATCAACACTCATCTTACTTGATCAACCGTGGACCCTCAGTTCCTTTGGATGACAGAATACCAGAGGAAGTTTGGAGCAAGAAAGAAATAAATCTCACACTTAAGAGTGTTTGGTTGTATTTCTTATGTACACATAGACTCTGCTGAAAGAAGTAAACTTGATGCTAAGTCCAACAAATGTGCTTTTGTTGGTTATGACGGTGATGAGTTCTGTTACCGATTTTGGGACTAAGAAAATCGGAAGATCATTAGAAGCAGAGATGTCATTTTCAATGAGAATATGATGTACAAAGACAGGTCAACTGTAGAATCAAGCAGCTCCAATACCGTAGCTGAAACAAAGGAATTTGCTGAGTTCGAGGAGATTTCTGGAAATGATATTCAAATCAGTCCTGAAGCAGTTCAAGAAGAACCAGGCACACCGGAACTAAGACGCCCCTCCAGAATTCCTAAACCAACCCAGCGGTATTCTCTTTCTTTGCACTACTTGTTGCTGACTGACAATGGTGAACCAGAGTGCTATGATGAAGCAATGCAAGTGGAGGATTCAGTCAAGTGGGAGTCTTCTATGAAAGATGAGATGGACTCGCTTATGTCAAATCAGACATGGGAATTAGCTGAATTACCACCAGGCAAGAAAGCGATTCATAACAAGTGGATTTACAGGATAAAAAAAGAGCACAATGGGACCAAACGCTACAAAGAAAGATTGGTTGTCAAAGGCTTTCAGCAAAAAGAAGGTATTGATTACAATGAAATTTTCTCTCCAGTTGTAAAACTGTCTACAATCAGACTAGTGTTAAAAATTGTAGCTGTAGAAAATTTACATCTTGAGCAGTTAGATGTAAAGACAACTTTCCTTCATGGTGATTTGGAGGAAGAAATCTATATGAGGTAGCCAGAAGGCTTCATAGAGGCAG